CGCTTTGAGGGATAGATTCAATTCTATCTTCGTTCTTGTAACGTTGAACAATGTCCCATACGGTGCTCTTGCTAATGTTCAATAAATTAGCAATTTCGCGAATCGATTTCCCCTTTTCCCGATGAAAAATTATTAATTGTCGCATATTAAACGATATATTCATACTTTTCCGACCCATTTCGCATATGTTTCGAACAAGACTGATAAATATTTGATCCCTAACACACTTTGTAGATAGTATAAATGGTGTGTTTGCAAACATTGTTTCGGTTACTTCCTGGAACCTGGAAACTTGCGGTGTATAGCAAGTATCCGAATATTTTCGTGACATTAAAATAGGCCTTCTTTCTATATTTCTCATTAATTATTTATATAACCACGTATCGTAAATAAATATTTTTTATGTTTTTGTTAACTACATACTGCATAGTAACATACGTGAAGCCTCTTCTTGTTCTTTTTAAATATTTGTCTAAAGTACGGATTATAATAGTTAAAATTATAGTGGTGTCCGAATATTTTCGTGACCGACTGTACATACAGGGTGTCCCACGTAACACTTTTCACGATTTTTTCACGTATCTGCGACAATCTTCGATTGGTTCTAGAGTGCAATACAAAGTTTCAACAAAAAATTTATTTCACCCTGTATGTACAGGGTGGCCAACCTAAACGTTTCCTACCTAAATATCTTCTTCAATAATGATGTTAATGATGTTTTCAAAATCATCGACGTTCATTAGCTTATAAATGCGTATTGTTTTTATTGCTGAATCAACTATTTCACGTTTTGTTCAAAGCTCATTTCGAAGTCAACTTAGTATACGTGTCTAGACGCATTTCAACATCGACCACACAATGGAATTAAAAGATATGTATGTAAATTAACATCGGTGATCTTGAAAAGTCCGAAAAAATAGCTTTGAATAAAGTTACTTTTTGCATCGTATTCGTCTTTCGATACCAGTTGTATAAGAAAGTCTTCTGTAACGTCACTATCGCAGGAGATATTTAGATGAAAACATTTAGGTTGACCATCCTGTATACATACTTAGAAAATGGCATTTGAAGGTCATTTTGTCCTGAGCTCGCCCTCAGTGTTGACAAATTTTTGACAATCGTCAAATTGATTGTGCTAACGTGTGAGCAAATTGATTTTGTTAATCTGTGTGTTGTTATTTTATTATCTGTGATTTACAGTTTGATTTTGTTACTCGAACAATCGTATAATTTAATGGATTGACAAAGAGCAATATTTCTGCGGTTCTAATAATTATGAACGACATTGCGCATCCACATAGATATAGATACTGGCGAGGTGCAATATTTCTGTGGTTCTAATAATTATGAACGACATTGCGCAAGCGCATACATATAGATACATTTAATGAGGCAGAGCAGCGATCATCTACATTCTTGGAAAAAACGGTTCACTATTACCGACTCGTCTAACTACTTTGACACGCATGACAGTCAAAGACACAGTGAAACCTTTTTCTTCTATTATTCAAATCATTTCACATCACCGACTTATGAATTTGCACTTTAACGATCGCAGTCCTAAGATAAACGGTGCTTTCATTTTAATCCTATGGATGTTTCCATATCATTTTTCAGAAGATAGGTCATCCGAACAAAGTGGAAACATAATTTTAGTAATATAACACGATAAAAGTAATATAGCAAGATAAAGTAGAACTATCTGACAATGAGATGTGAATTTTATTGCATGAGAAAATACCGATTCCGTCACCAGTGAAGTGTTAAAAGTGAATTCAGATGTCGATCGAAATTCTATCAGAGACCAGGAAGGATCGATAAATTATTGTAAGTTTCTTCTGCATGTTCAATCTGCATCAGATTCTTGATAAAATAGATTTGCAATGTCTTTATCTCGTTCTGTATTCGAACTGCATTTAAACTGCATTCGGACAAATCGCATGCAATGCCATAAGTATGATGAAATATTAACTGTATACGTAATTCAATTGGAGCGTTCGGACGACATACAGTGCCACAATACTTTTTCTCGCGTTGAACGCTGTATCGCATACGCCTGGGCTCGGAATTAACCAGCACGCAACACGAGGATCGCGAGGGCTACGCCTCCTGACTACCGAGGGGTGCTCGCTCATCGGTGATCGCCTAACTCACACACACACACACATATACAGGGTGTCCCAAAAATTCCTCGCGATCCGGAAATAGAGATTCCTGATGTCATTTGACGTAACTTTTTCCTTAGCGGAAATGCAATCCGCGGCCTTGTTTACGAGTTATTAACGAAAAACACTGACCAATAAGAGGCGAGCGCACGCAGCCCAGTTCCGCTCATTGACCCGGCTCTCTTTCGCCTCTCATTGGTTAATATTTTCTGTTAATAACTTTTTGTCGCAGGGGTTACTGCGACGGTTTATATAAAATAATCCGAGAGAGTTTTTTTTTGGTTTTTATATAACGAGAACTTTAATATAACTTGTAACAAAAGGCGATGAGGTACAGTGTGTAGAAGGTAAAGGTAAACGAGTGACGGATGAGACAGAAATATGGACACGTTGAGAGTCGGAGGAAAACTTGCTAACTGACTTCTCCCGGTCGAGAGGTCCTCGTATTTATTGGGGAGAACGTATTGAAATTGGTAAGGGAAAGTCCTTGGGAAGGGCGAAGGCCTTTCCCGAGGATTTTCCGACCGGGGTGATCCGGGACCTATGGTCCGAAGCTGTGTCCCAACGTTTTTATTGTTTTAT